ACGTTAATTGAAGCAAAGGAAACAACGTATAAAATTATTAAAAGGTGTTGTGAGTAAATATGTTTGGTGACAAGAAATTGGAAGAGCATAGCAAGTTATAAATCTAAATTAAAAACCTAAAATTGCATTGTTGTCCAAATCTGAAGTATAAGATGGTTTTTAAATTTGATTGCTACGATTTTACTTTTTTAATATGATTGCAGTTTTTCATTTCTTTGTTCAACTATGTTTTGTTTGTACTACTTTTTTCCCGCAATACACATATTTTCGCCTTTTCTTTACTAAAGCTAACGGTGTTTGTGCTTTTCCTTGTATCTCTGGAAAGGCGTGGTCCTTTTCTATGCTTTTCACATTTGAGGCTTTGACAACAGTGATCCATGGCTCATGTCACTGGCATGTATCGCTGCCTGTGTTATTAAAAAGTGAAATGCCTAAAAAAACTGAAAGGTTTTTTTTTGGGGGGCTTGGGCTTTAATGAAAATAAAATGTGAGCTCAAGTGAAAAGGCATAAATGGATAAAAATTACAAAGAACTATGTTTAGTCCAAGACTAATAATTATAAGCACGAATAACAAATATATGGGCAACGAAATTGAAATTATTATGGTAAAGTGAACTTTGAATTGTTTAGTGCAGTCTCTTTAGGAATGCTCATTGGCAAGGAAATGCTCTAGAGACTCAATGACGACACTAAAGCACACATTAAGTGAGGCGAAGCGCTCAACATGTTTTGAGCCTCGCTTCATAGCTTAAGCGCGCCTTTGACAACACCGAATTCATTGGTACCATCTATGGCATTAGTCATATCATCATCATTGTAGTATTATCATATAATAATAATGCATCACTATTATCATCCTTAGTGTTGTTATTAGTCTGACTACGGTATTTCATTCCTTGCCTACTTTAGAATCCATATTCATAGTTGCTTTTACGTTAATTCTTATCTTGTGCGTATAACCTTTAAACGTGAAAGCAGTCCATTGCGAATTGTAAAAGCTCCGTGCCATATTATCATCTGTTTCACTTTGTTACTGACTATAAATCTATCCTTCTTGTTTAGGTTGGTGATTTGGGCCTATCCAAAGTGAAATGTCAAACACTAATCTCTGGCGGTGTACGAGGAACTCTCCCTTGGATGGCACCAGAACTTCTCAATGGAAGCAGCAGTCTTGTCTCTGAGAAGGTATAAAAAAAAGTAGTTCCTTTGTTTCAATTTGTTTGTCTGGTTTTGATTTGGCACGGATTTTAAAAAAGTAAAATAGACTTTTGATTCTTGTGGTCTTAAACTAATGATATGTAGAATGTACCAAAATGTCCTTCAATCTTGTGGTCTTAAACATGCCATGTGAAATTTAGAATTAATAAGTTGCCAATAAAGGTAAGAAAGAGCCAAGAATCAAATTCTTTTTTAAACGGACTAAAAAGGAAAGTAAGATGAACAAGTTGAAACGTAGGGGGTAATAATTTTATCTCCTTATCCCTGTGTGTTGACGCATACTTTGCTGGGTGTGTTTGTAGGTTGACGTATTCTCCTTTGGAATTGTACTGTGGGAACTTCTTACTGGAGAAGAACCATATGCCGAATTGCACTATGGGGCTATAATTGGTAACGACTTCCAAATATTCTTTTTCAACTTCAACCAAATATTGTCCAAATGCCTTCTAAGTCAACAAACCAGTTCGAGTATTAACAACTGAACACGTATGCAGGTGGTATCGTGAGTAATACCTTGCGTCCTCCAGTGCCAGAGTCCTGTGACCCAGATTGGAGGTCACTCATGGAGAGATGTTGGTCAGCTGAACCATCCGAGAGGCCTAACTTCACTGAGATCGCCAACGAGCTACGAGTGATGCAGTCTAAGATCCCTCCCAAAGGACAAAACCAACAATCATCTCCCTCAGCAAACACCAACCAAGCTAAAACTTAATTTTCTGCACTGCCCTTTGTAGTTGCTTTTTTCTTACCTTGATAAACTTAGGTATATAAATTAGCTCAAAGTAACACATAATATAGTGGTCTCGTCTTTGTTTTCTGGTTTTTTAGATCTCCATTACATTTTATTATTGACTTAATTAGGTGTTCCAATACTGACCAAATTTACATCAAAATCAAAGTCAAAGTAACACAACATTTTCTTCTCTTTCAGTTTGTTATGTAGGTGATTAGTCAAACTTGCTTGGGACTGAGGCGTTGATTAATTGATCATCACATGTGTTCGAAAGCATATCATGTTTTGCAAGTGGGCAATGTGAATATTGTTCTTTGCTTCCCCTTTTCAACCACTTCCTTTTATTATGGCGTGATTAATGCGTCTTAAACCTTTTTCTTGAAAAAAAATATGCATTCTTAGTGAAATTTTTACACGTTGATCTATAGAAATATGGCCATTTTCTTTGACAAAAAAACTTCTAAATTATCATCACATCAATAGGTGCATAAAGTAAATATTGGTATTGACTTATTAAAAATATATGTCTTTTGAGATTTTGATTAGACAAATCTTTTAATCTTCATATATTAATATTGATTTTACTCCTTGTTTTGGCTTGCAAAAGTGATTTGTGGATGAGACCCTTGCACCTAACTACAATTATAGTTTCATTATGTAAATCATGAATTAATTTTAACCAACATTAATTATTGTTAATGAGTGTGATTAAAGATTGCTGGTGCTTGATTAATTAATATAATTGATTCTCTGTACTATCCAAAAAGAAAAATCAAGAAGCATATCCAATCTGGGGCGGACCTCCATCGAAAAATTACAATGTTATACATGGTGATTTTTTTTTTATTTTTTGTGTATAGATAACAAATGTTGGTCTCATTTGACTCATCGTATTTTAAACTCTATTAGTGAAAATTTTGATTTCGTCACTATATAATGAATATAATCATGTAATTAATTATTGTCTTGTTCCTTTTTACTTGGAAAATATCCCTACACCCTGTCCCCAACACCTAACGAATCTCTTATCTTTTAGGACTAGTATATTAACTTAATTATTCTTTAATGAACTTAGTTTGATTTGATTATTATATTAGACTTATTTATATAGTAGATAGTCTCTTTTTCCTTTTGATGAATTTTTATTTTTAATATATATTGCGAGTTCATAAGACTAATAAATCCGATCTCTCTCATCTTTTAAGGGATTTAATCGACTTTATTCAATGTGAATTTGAATTAATCGAAGCTGACGTAAAAAAGTAGGTTATAGATATAAATAATAAGTAATGTTTGGTATCAAAAAAAGAAAAAAGTCATATCCAAAATGATGACTATAGTCTATACATATCCCTCAACGCGTTGTGAGCACTTAGTTGTATTTCCCTTTTTATTCTTAGCTTTCTAGACTTCCCTACATGTGTGTAACATTTATTTTTCTTGAATAGTCTTATAATTATGATTATAATAGTAAATTTATTTTTAGTTAAGTCTTATTTTTTCTTTTGATGCATTTTTTATTTTTTATTTCATGAATTGACTTTGAAGGATTGATGTTTTATCAAAGTCTTTTAAATATTCCTTTATTCTTTTTTACTTATCTAATCATAGGTACGATGATCTAACTCACAAGGTTTTGGTTCAAGTAGAGGATAACCGTAATAAATAATATAATAACCAAAACAAAAAACAACACATAATAATAAAATCAATAGATATAGACAAGATAGCAGAATAATAATAATAATAACAACACTGATAAAAACACAACTAAACAACGCTCAACTATTTGCTAACCTTCTATCCTAATCTTCAACATTCATACCCTTCTAATTTAAAATTATGTTCTCGATAAACTACATCAATATCATATTAAACATGTGCGTCATATTATCCTATTTCTCAATATTCATACCCTCTTGTCTAATTTTCGACCTACCTTTATCTCACTTCTCATGCCTGTCTCATAACTAATCTCTCACACCTTCTTATTTAAATATCTGCATATCTTCTTTTTACGTGCCTAAACCAATAACTAGGGATGGCAATGAGGCGGGTTGAGCTTAACCCCGCAATTTTTTTAGTCCGCCCCGCATAAACCCGTCTCGCATAACTTTTTAATATTTTCTTTTTCTAGTTAAGTTTGATACTAAAAATAAAATTTATAACAATAAATTCTTTTTTTCATTAAGTTGTATTAATTTAATAGGATAGTGACTTTAAAAATTATTTTTTAGGGGTTAATTGGAAAACATGCAAGAAATTGTATTATTTGTTATTGAACAATTTTCATATACTATCTCGAATATTTTAGTAGATATATAGAAATTATCTTAATAAACAATGCTCTATCACTTATAAAAATCACATATATCCGCAACTTGTCCCGCTCCACATTAATTTTTAAAAAGCCCACTTCAACCCACCCCGCCTATCACCCGCCCACACAATCTTAAACCTGCCCCGCCCCATATAGCTTTAAACCCACCCCGCATCTGCCCCGCCTAATTGCCATCCCTACCAATAACCAACTACATCCTAGACATAAAGAGAATAAATATTACACTTAAAAATAACAATAATATATGTCCATAATTGACTCGATGATATAATAAATCATATATTGCTGAAAATAATCAACCAATCTTTACTTGGTCAAAAGAAAAATCATCAAAAACACCTCATTTCTCAATCATTTCATTCGTCTTTCTCAGCCATCTCCTCACACAAAATATATATACACACCATCTTTCTCCATATCCACCACCATTCATCTTCCTCCCCCCAACCCCCAAACCCAAAATCTCAAATCTCCCAAAAACACACACAGAGATTGAATTTTTTGCTGAATTTTCAAGAATATTAAACAGAGCATAACGAAGAACAGCAAATATACCCACCCCTCACCTCGAAACCTCCCAAACACACACCAAGATCGAATTTTTAGCTGAATTTTCAAGAATATTAAACAGAGCATAACGAAGAACAGCTAATATACCCCAAAATATACACACCCAGATCGATTTTTCAGCTGAACTTTCAAGTGAAATGATGAACAACACTTATTCACCCATAAGAGAAACTGCCCAAGAAGGAACAGAATACGAAGAACCCTCTTCAATTTGGTGCGCCTGTTTCAGATTCCCCTGTTTTCCATCAACCCAAAAAGAAGGAGAAGCAAATTCTCTGCTCCAAGAAAGAGAAAACAGAGATTCATGGATAGTGAAAAATATGAAGGAATTAAAAGAGTATTCTGAACTTGTAGCTGGACCCAAATGGAAGAATTTGGTAAGGAAGATCGGAAAATACTGTAATCCTAAGAAATCTTCAGCTAAAACGACGCAGTTTCAGTATGATTCAGATAGTTATGCTCTCAATTTCGACAATGGCGGTGGTGATGTTAGGGAAGATGATGATGGGCTTTTACGTAATTTCTCATCTCGATTTGCTGCTCCTTTTTCTGGTTTTGTTGCTAATAATAATCCAAATAAAAATGCTGGTTTGTGATAATTATTGGAGAAAAAAATAATCGTCATTTATCATTTATTGTATATTTAGGGGAGAAAATGGTGATGAAATTGATTTTATAAATTTAATTAATTTATTGTAGAAGTAAAATTCCCCTTTTTACCATTTTTATAGTTAAATAAATTTATGTTGTGAACTTGTGATTAGTTAACCATTATTTATATTTAGTTTTGGATGTTTTGATCTTAAGATTATAAGCTAACACAATAACAATAATAACGTATTTAGTGTAATCCCATATATAAGGTATTTAGACTTTTTATAAAGTGATTGTTTTCGAAATTTTTAGACATCTCATGTGTTTTTTTAAAACTCATGAATAGATATACTGCAAATTTGTTATGAATTGGCTAGTTTTATAGTGATCATTGATGAACGAATGTTTATTTATCTAAATCCTTTTATTGTTATTTTGGAGATTTTTTATATAAAGGGAAAAGGGCCTGATGTACCCCTCAACTTTGTCATTTGAAGCTGATATGCCCTTTGTAATGAAAGTGGCTCATATATACCTTAACTGTTATACAAACGGCTCACATATACCCCTACCGTTACAAAATGAGCTCACATATACCCTTCATTTAATGGAAAGTGAAAAAAATTAGTTTTAAATTTATACTTTTGACTTTTAATTTTCTTCAAAATTAGTTAGGGGTATATATGATTCTTCTAGCAAAGTTCAAGGTATATTTTAATCTTTTTCATACATAAATTATTTTTTGACTTCTTTGATTATAATTATTTGAGTTTCTTATTCTTATTTTATTTTTTTCTTTCATTCCTTAGTGTAAAGAAAAAAATTTAAAACTATATTTTTGTGGCTATGTTATAATTTTTTTATTTTTTTTTTGTCTATATTGTAATTTAATTTTTGTATTTGAAGAAACAAATTTGGTCATCTATAATAAGTTTTACAAGAATATTAGTGAAACATAAATAAATTTGACCATCAAAATAATAAATCTAAATTAGTCATTGACAAAAAAAAGTCAAAAAAAAAAATATGTTTGAGGAGGATTAAGTATACTCATATGGGATTATGTTTTTTTTTTTTAAAGAATAAATATTAAAGTAAAATTAATTTTTTTCATTTTCGTTAGAGAAAAAGGGTATGTGAGCCATTTGTATATAAGTAGGGGTATATATGAGCCACTTTCATAACGAGGGGTATATCAGCTCTAAATGACGAAGTTGAGGGGTATATCAGACCCTTTTCCCTTATATAAATAAATAATTGATCTAATTCACTCTTTATGTTTCTTATCTTATATAGTTAGTTGATTATATATGATTATACATATACATATATAATATATATGAATTATATGTAATGTTATAAGTCTATTGTCTATTTTGAATTTAAGTAATTGAATGTTGTTTTAAGTGAATTCTTTTTTATCTAACATCTCATGTTTACTATTTTTTTTCCTTCTATTTTATTGAAAATAAGAAAACTAATGTGCACTAACAAGTCATAATGTGCAATAATTATTCTTGTATGGTGAAAATTATTGGTTTTTATATTAAAGTTAAGTTCACTTCGTTATTCCTTTAGCAAAGGAAACGAATCTAGAAATATAGAATAAAACATTTCATGTTAAAGTAAGAAAACTATTTAATAACTTATTGTAAAAGTAAAGTAAATACATTAATTAATTAATAACTTATTGTAAAAGTAAAGTAAAGGAAAATTACACTTCATTCTATTGCCAAAATACAGAATAAAATAAAATATATTTACATTAATTAATTAATACTCTTTTTATTTTAATTTATTATATTTGTTCTATTTTAGTTTAACACAAAATTTTAAAAATATATATTAAATTTTCAAAATGTTATTTAATCTGGTGATACTCCATATTAAAACAAAAGCAGGCCTAAGGCGGCTCAGAATAAACATGTGCCACCACCTTCATAGAAACTTTAGTTATGATTGTACCACCCTTTATTCTATATTCATTTTATGGTCTAATTAATCTGTATTTATGTTGAAAATTTTTATTTGAAAAATAAAACACTTTTTACTAAATAAAAATTTCATACAAAAAGAATTTGAACCTAAACTTTTTAATTAAACATAAAAAATATTTATTATTTTATCACAATTATTGATGGTGCCGCCTTTATAGACCAAGCTATGTGCATCCCACGATGTGAACGATTGAAGAAATTTCAATTCTTTGTATTTACATTGTACTAATGTTTCTTAAAATTATTGACCAGAATATTATTGTGGCCAACTTGTCTACGTTTTTAGAGATATTTGGAAGATTCATTTGTCCTAAAATAATGAGTAACATGAATAACCAAGTAACGTTGTTTTTAATAGACCTTCGACTTTAGAATAGAAGAAAAAAAAGCACTTTGCAAAAGAATATAACTAAAGTGAAGAAGTCATGATATAATATTATAGAACATGACAAAATATTTTGAGAAAGGAACCGTAACTACAATAAAAGAAAATGATTATCGAAGTACAAGAAACGACAGATAGTAAAGACGAAAAACTATAAGAGTAATACTATGACTATTCGTAAGTAGAAATAGCAAAACAATTCTCAACTGCCTTTCAACCTTCCAGTTCTTACCGTTTTTAAGTTCCAACCTAACAAAGAGAGTGAATTTAATTTGCTTTCTTTCAATCGTTCAGACCACCAAACTTGTACTATTAACTCTAATAAGAAAAATGCTATATACAACTAAAATTATGTTGAAACCAATAAATCGATGCAAAAATTTCCTACATAATGTAAGTTACTAAAAATTGTAATTATTGAATAATTGTAGCAGTACTTAATAAGTAATATTGAGAAACTATATATCTTGTCTTGTTATACTATGTATATTTTCTTGTAAATACTTGAGCTGCCATTTTTAGGTTCGAATTTAGGTTTAAAACATTTAAGAAAAAACTATATAATTAGATATACTTCACCTCCATATGTATTATTATTATCTATACTTTCAAAATATTACGTATCTTATCACTAATTAAGAATTTTCTACGTATCTTACACTTAGATACATACATTTTTGCTACCAAATACACAAAAATAAGGAGAGAGGCGAGCGAGATTGAAGAGGGAGGCAAGCAAGATTGCGGAGGGACGCGAGCGAGATTCATATCTATCCCATATGCATGCAAATTACACTACATACATACATGTATCAGTATGTATCAGGAGTGATTCACATGTATATGAGATACCATGGGAGAGTGGCTAGCGAAATTGGAGAGAGGCGAGGGAAACGAGCGAGATTTGCTACATTTGATCCCATTTATCCGATATACATGTATCTAGATGAATCTGGAGATACCAAAATCTAGAAAAATACATAATATTGCAAACCAGAGTATAACTAAGTAATTAGTTATTAAACTAATGAAATTTATGTAAATTTCCTAACATTTAATTCTTTTTAAAAGGTGGCTTAGCCCAATTCGCAGCCCATTTAAGATTGGGCTAGTCAAATTTCAAAGCCTTGGGGATCAGATCGATCCCTATTGATAGCTCTGAAACTCTAATCTTAACATGAGTAAATTATGCTTAACTGATAGTTTTGTACATCTGTAGGATCAATCATACAGTTAAACTAAAGTGAAAATTACACTTTATGCAATGAGATTAATATTTTTAAAAATACATGTGTAATCAATTGAAACTACTTCATACATTAAATGAACCAAAATTTGATGAAATTAACGGTATTGTTCATTTACCTTGATATTTTGTAGTATAATGGTTAAGAGAGATATCAAATGCTGCCTATCAAATATACATACTTTAGCGACAATTAATACATGGTAAATTGGTAATAACTTAATTATCGCTAAATATGTTTTTAGTGGCAATTAACACTCTTTGTAAGTGTTCCTAAAACCTATAGCGAAATTGAATCCGATGGCATTTGACTAATGACGATAAAAGTTTTAGCACTCTTTGTTAATTTGTTGCTAAAATTATTTTTATTGTAGTGATATTTAAGTTTGACATAATGCTTGTACACTCAATTTTTGGACTTATATCTAAATTTTGACTAAGATGTCTTATATTTCAAATTTATATGTCTACTAAAGTTCAAACAATCAAACCTAACTTTGAAACTCAAATGTCTATTTATTCAATACCTTTTAAGAATACACTTTCTTAATATATTCATGCATTTTCAACTTGTCATTTTAATTAAATAATTAAAAAGTTTTGAATTGTTATAGTCTTCTAGATGTCATTCATTATGAAAGTGATGGAACCAATACCATCAATTAGATGGACGATACAAAGAGCTAGCTTAGCATGGTCTTAAGGATGACACGTACAAATTAATAGTTTAAATAATTTAATTAAATCGATAAATGTAATAAAAATCTAGATATTTTTTCTGTCTCTCTTTCATGGACCCCTCTTTTTGTCTAACACTAATAAGTCTAGTCATCATACATAATTTGTCCGTAAATTACGCATTCATTTTATAAAAATGAAGTAGCCGGAAAATAAGATGAAGAGATAAAATTATTGAAATATATTCAGAAAAAAAATGAATATATCTCAAATTAACAAGTTGGAAACATAACTTGTTTATATTTTCGTTTTCACGATAAGAGCTCATTGAATTTTAGACATATGCTTGATAATATTACTCATTGTGTAGGTGAAATATCCTCAATAACGCGCACCTCAAACTAATTCTATTCTGCAGGTAGAATTATTTAATTTTCAAAACCATTTATCTTCACCATAGTCCTTTTTTTCCTACGTATTTTCGATAATATTAGTGTTAGGTAGATAATAATTGTATTTCTTTTGTAACCTTTTTTCAACTACCAAGGAAAATTGTTCCAAATTAGTACCTAACCATGTCATTAAACAGTACATCATACTAATTAATATCTATGTCGTGCTCTTCTAGTAGCTACTAAATATAAACAATTGAAAGCTACCATGAGCTTATTAAAGTCAATAACAACCCACCAACTA